AATACTTAGGTTAAGTACCTAGCACTTCTACTGTGCTCTACTCTAAGGCTGAAGACCAAAGGGGCCAAAGTCCTTGAGCTTGTGGACTTGCTGGGCCTTGGTAAGTAGAAGATTGGAAATCAGGAGTCTTAAAGGCTACCTTCCTTTACTTTCTGAGTGTTCTGCTCCTGAATTTCTTTCCCAGTCTCAAATACCCCAACTTATGAGAAATTTAAAGGGAAGGGCTTGAGTCAGTTGCCTGTGGCTCATGCCTGTAATCTTAGCTACTCAAGAGACTGAGATCTGATGAGGTTCAAAGCCAACCTGGGGAAGGAAAAGTCTATGAGACTTTTATCACCAATTAATCATACATACACAAAAAAGCCTAAGTGGAGCTGTGGCTCAAGTGGTACACCAGCCCTTGAGTGAAAAGTCTAAGGGACAGCACCCAGGTCCTGAGTTCAAGCCCCATACACGCAAAAATAAATAAGTAAATAAATAAAGGTAAGGTCTCGTTTTGAGTACACTTTTCTGGAGTTGGGGGATATAGGTTAGTGATACTGTGCTTAGCATGTACAGGGCCTGGTTTCAATTCCCAGCACTAAAATAAAGAGGTACAAGAATGCCTTCCCTCTATTCTGGAAATCCTTCCTAATGTCGGTATATATTTCTTCCAGATTCAATATATTTTCTCTTATTTTCACTTTCCCTGTCCAAGGCTAAAATCTCAGAGCAGTAACCCAGCAGGCCGTGATTCGCTGTCCCTTTAAGACAACCTTCTCCCCACGTGCCGTCTGGTTGGGCTGGCGATGCTGACGCACGCATGACGTCAATGGCAGCTGGTGGAGTCTGGGCACGAGGAGCAAAGTTGGGATGGGGGTGGGGGGGAAAGGAGGGAGGGAAGGCAGTTAATTTGCATTTAAAGGGGCCTCTTCCAGGTTAATGATCAGGGCTTTAAAGAAATGTGTATTGAGAAAACTTTCTATCCCAGGCTGTGGCTCAAGAAAATGGCGCGGTACAGCTGAAGTCGGTGGTGATTGAAGTTTGCAATGTCAATTATGTCCTTCCGCGGAAAGGGGGAAGTAGTCCGTCGGTGCCTAGGCTGGGAGCACGTGACCGGGAGGGGGGGCGGATGGGGGAGCCAAAGAAGAGGGAGGAGCTGGGGAGCGGACTGTCAGGCTGCGTTTCAGCTGCCCCCACCCCCACATCCTGCCCACCCTCCTGCAGCTGCCACCACATCCTGCCCAGCCGGGGGCAGGGAACTCGTGTGTGTGTGTGTGTGTGTGTGTGTGTGTGTGTGTGTGTGTGTGTGTGTGTGTGTGTGTAGGGGGGGTAATATACTGACTCGGACCCGGCTCTGGTACCCCCCTCCCCCCTCCCTGCCCTCAGCTCTCTTCAGCTCCAGGGTGTGGCTTCTGCCCTTTGCCCCAAAGTCTGGCCCTAGGCATCCTGGCATTAGACTTGGAGCTCTGCTTTGCCAGTACAGCCTTGGACAGCTCTCTGCCTGACTCTGCCATCCATCCTTCCTTCCAACTCTGAAGTGAAACTTGAAGGAACCTCAAGACCAGAAGTTCCTTACAGACCTTTCATCCCTGGGCTAGTAGTTACTAGTGGGAGAAATAGAGTTGTTCAATAAAGCTTTTATAATCTTAAAGCCTGTACACAACTGCACACCCGAATGCACATACACATTCAGATTCATGCGATGTATTTGCTGAGTGCATTCCATGCTGGTTCTGTAAAACTCTGAAGACCTGAGATTGAGTTAGATCTCAGGCTCTTAAAGAGCTCAGGTTCTGATGAAGAAGAGTAAATTTGGAAACCAAAAATGTCAGAGTGTATACTATGGTGTGTACTGGGGAGATAGATGATACAACAGCACAGGACAGCACCAAATCAGTGATGAGAATATATGCCCCCAGCTACCGTACAGCTGCTTAATGTCCTTTGCTTTACAAGCAAGGTGACAGATGTGGAGAGCAATGGGAAGTCTTTGTGGCGATCATTCAAAAACTGCAGCAAGAAGGATCAATTTGATAAAAGAATGAAATGGATGGTGATAGGACATTAAGATTATTCTAATGTCTGTGGAGAAGGTGAGAGAGGCCAGTCAATCCATGCAGATTAGAGGCCTGACCAGCAGTAATGACTTCCCTGGGTTATACTTGTGGTAAACTGTATAAACGTATGGGAGGAATTTATACAACCTATTCTTTTTGGACTTTGGTGGACATCTAAATGTCTGATCATAGAGAATTTCATAGCAGCTTAGGCTTGTTAGGTGACTAGAAATGATGGGTGGGCAGTTTGAAGTGAGGGAGGAAAAATGAGACCCTAGGTTTTTGGTCCTGCTCAATCATTCTACATATGAGATGGAAAGCCTAGGCCATTTAGTGAGTCACTTTCCGGAAGTCCTTATTTCCATTCGAGCTTCCAGCAGCCCTCACTCCCTAGAGATTTTTTGTCTTCCTCCATGAAAATCAGGATCTTGTGCATGTTATTTTACTTCTTCCCAGAAGTTTACTCCACATTCTAAATTCGGTCCCATTAACAACATCAGCATCTCCTACTCTGTTGTCCTGTGCACTGTCATGTGTGAGCATCTCAGGAATTAGGTCACTTAATCTCTCACTGAGCTCTTCACTTCATCCGTTTTCCCTCCAGCTCCTGGCCCTTTAATACCCTCCCCAGGTGACTCACCTTCCTTCCTCATTCCTTTGTTAAGGACCCAACATTCCAAGGCTGGGAGGAACAGCCAGCCAATCATAGATCTGGCAGGCTTGCTTCTGGCTTGAGATTGGCTGGAGTTGTGATTGGCGGGAGACTCATGCTTATCTACAGGGATTGGGGAGGGGGTTTCTGGGAATTGGCCCTGGGAAAGAATTTGTTTCTGGGCTGCTTGTGTGAGAATCTTCAAGTAGAGTTTAGGCCAGAGGGCTCTCTGGCTTGGAGAGCTTCTAGATTTGAGGCAGGTTGAGAATTTAGCCCCCTTGGTCTCCTAGGGACTTTTTGCCCACCTCCCCCTCTCTGATTTGGGACCCAATGGACTGAAGGCTTCGTTCCCAAGCCTGTTCCTAAGAAGTCTTCCAACAGTCTTGGATCTCTCCAGTCTCAACATTCTGCTTTCCCGACGTCGGAAACAGCCGGAAAATAAACACCCTGATGACTAAACGATTTCTCCAGCTAGAGCCTGGGGAAGCACTAAAAATAGAGGCCACAAGTGAGGGGAGGTTCCCAACTTTGGGGAGGGGGGGCACTTTCCCATCCTGCTACTGCCACAGTGTCAACTCTGGCACAAAGCTCATGCCTTCAATCTGTGGGGAAGTGTTATAAGGGCTCTCCCTGCCTACCCTGATGTTTTGGGGGCAAGCTAGCCTTGTCTGGCAGGGAGAACTTGCTCTGATGCTGGATACCCCAAACCAGTGGGGAATTGAGAAACCACATTTAGGGATAATGTAGGACATTGTATAAATCAGGTTTCCTTACGGGGAGGGGCCAGGTAGAAAGGTTGGAAACTGAGGCCAAGGAAATAAGAGCCTGCTGGCTTCTAGTTCACGGTACAAAATAAACCTCCAACCTATTTGCAAAACAATCCCACTGCTCTACCCTTCTAAGGCTGGTCTGAACTAACTGGGACCCGAAGGAATGTTTTTGTCTTGCCCTTTGGCCCGAAAGCCTATGTCTTTATAATGCAGTGCACTACACAACTTTGGTGAGCTAACTTGATTTTCATGCCAAATGTATGTTTGGTCCTATTATCACCATTTCTGCTTCACTCTGGAAGATAATCAGGTAGAGAATTACTGTTCTTGTGTTAACAGTTAATAATAAGTGGTGGAGTAAGGCTTTGAATTGAGGCAGGTTGGGTGCAAAATTGCTGCATGATATGCTTCCTGTCTCTGTACATACTGGTCTAAGTACTAACCCAGAATTGGGTTTTTGTCCAGTATATTTAGACCCAGCCAGATAGAAATCAGTGTGAAGAACTGAGTGCCCTTCTGTTCTGCAAGATTCTTTGAGATCTATGTCAGATCCGATCATTTCCTCAAGCTTCGGGTTAGAAAGCCGCTTCCCTTGGAAGTATCAGGAATGTTGGCTGATGAGGAAAGAAAGCAAATGGGGTCCAGTGTCAGCGACCCAGGCACCTACACTCTTGTAGGGCCCTTAAAAATCTCACCATTAAGATCTACTACTACTTCTTTAACTAAGGCGCTTCTAGATGTTTCCTGGGAGGCAGATGGGGAGTGTGGGGGGCGCGCCCTTCAAATTGCCCCCTCGGCTGGGGCGCGCAGGCATTGAAGATTAGGTCACCCGCCAACTATGAGCGGTCGCTTTAAATTGCTGGGCGTCTGCCGAGCAGGGCCCAGGAAGGGGAGGGGGTTTGTCGCAGGTAGAGGGAGCCGTTGAGCTCCCCAGGTAACCTCAGGAGAGAACGTGGTCCTGTAAGTGGAGCTTTGTCACACATAAAGTGGGGAGATGGATTCTTCCCATCACTTACAGTCTCCTCTTAATTTTTCTACTTAAGACTCCTTCCTGCCAACTCTCCTGGGGCTTGGGGGTGTCAAGGTAGCGTGTGTGCCCGGGAGTGTCTGCGCCTCCCGCGGAGCCCCGAGGAGGAAGCTCCGTGAGCGCGGGGCGGCGGCGGCGCCCGGCGGCTGTCCGCGAGCTCGGAGGGGGCACCGGGGGCACGGGACGATCCCTTTCAAGGCCTCTTGAGCCTCGCCTTTCTACTTTGCCTCGCTCGGTCTCCACCAATCTCTCCCTTCTCTCTCCCCTTCCCCGCAGGCGGAGGGATCTGCCGCTCCCCACGCCGCAGCCTGCTTGGGAGGGTGGCGGGGTGGGGGCCGCTGGCCCGGCCCGGCCGGCCCGAGGGAAGCAAGAGGCGGTGCCGCGCTCCGGACCGCCCCCGTCCGGCCCCGCCCCTCCGCCCCCATGGGTTCCTGCCATTGGGCCGCCGCCTGTCCATCACTTCTGGTCTCCCTCCCTCTTCTCCCCCTCCCACCTCTCAAGCTAGGCTGAGCTGTGCCTACGTCGGCCTCGACTCCCGGGGGCTGGAGGAGTTACCTTTGGAGCCCGAAAGGAGGAAGGAAGCAAAATATCAACAACAGTCGAGGCGGCTCCAGCGCTCGGCCCCGGTCCTCTCTCGCCCGCCGCCCGCCTGCCCGCCCCCGCGCCCACGACGGGGGCCGAGGCCCCCGGCGCCGCCCAGGGCCCGCGCGGACGCCGGCCTCATTTATTATTCCCCCCGCCCCGAGCGGCAGCTTCCCGCTGTGGAAGATACCCCAGACCTGGGGCTAGGGCCATCCCCTCCCTGCTGTGACACTCCATTTCCCCAGCGGGACTGGTGAGTAGAGAAAAATGGTGCGTCTGCCACTTTAAGAGCCCCCCTCCCCCACCCCGTGCTGGGGCTGGGGTGGAGGGGGGTCCGGACCGTCCCCGGAGGGGTGCTGTGGGGTGGCCCCGGGCCGGGCGGAACTCGCGGAGCGGACCGTGTCTCCGCGCGGCGCGGGCGGGGGGGTTACCCCGAGAACTGTTTGTGTCCGGGAGTCGGCGGTGGGGGGCCCGTGGAGTGGGTTGTGTGATTCCCCGGGGTGTTGGAGGTGCGGGTGGGGACCGGCGGATTGGGGGGCGCGCCGGCCTGTTCGTGTCCGAGGAGCGGAAGGCCTCTGAGGGGTCTGGGAAAGGGCGCCATCCTCACAGGGGGTCTCCGGTGACAGCCTGGAGCGACTGACATTTTACCAGCCGGCTCTCCGTCTCTCTCCCTCCCCTCGCCGCCTGTTCCCTCCTCCTTGGCCCGAAATGGTGCAGAAGGGGGCCTGGGAGGGCGGTGAAGGGTGGGGGCGGGGGGAGCCGCAGCTGTTTGGGAAGCGGGGGAGGGAGGGGGGATGTTGTTCAGATGACACCCGGGGGTGGGTTGGGTTGTGAGTGTGTCTCCCGGCCCGTGTTTGCCGGTGTTTTATGGAGTTGGGACGCCGAGTCGCCCCAGGAGATGGGCACGCCGGACGACCCTCCTTGGGACCTCCCAGCCCGGGTTGTTCCAAGACCCCCCGATGCAGTTTGTCAGCAACCCCAGCTGACGAACCCCCTGGCCAGAAGTTTGCAACTGTTCAACATCTGGGCAGAGGACTTCTCCAGTCTGTCTTTGCACCTATGGCAGGCTGAGCTGGGTTAGGAGTGGGGTCTGCCTAGGGAGGGGGGGTGGGCTCTGGGGAGGTTAGGCCTAGGGGATTAAGATACACTTAGTCTCCCCCTTACATTTTCAGCTTTTTCACATTGGGGGGTCGTGTGTAACAACGGAAAGTACTGGATCTCTGGTGATTCACACTAACCTGGCAGCAACCCTCTAGTGTGCCCCAGGAAAGGAGCACCCCTAGGCATGGGCTCACTTGACCTCGGAGTAGATTATGCCAGGTTTGTTCTGAATATGAGGCCTGGCCTCCCTTACCTCGTGCTGCTGGGTTGGGGGATGGTGCAGTGGGTGGATCCTGTGCTCCTTCCCTGTGCCCAGCACCCCCATATATGACTTTTATTCAGAGGCCTAGTTTCTTTGGTTTGAAGGTGGCAATTATTCACCTTCCCTCCATTCCCTGAATGGGCCCCCAAAGCATTTCAGGGGCCAGCCTGGACTATGGGAAGTTTGCCGGCTGGGGCAGTGACCTTGGGCTGTTCTGGCCTGGAGATAGGAGGGGAGCCCAGGCCAATATGAGATTGAGTATATTGGAGTCAGTGCTGCCCACTTCCTACTCCCCTTCAAGTGCCCCCAGAGGAGGTCTCCGTGGAGAAGGGCAATAAAAAGACACATGTCATTGTCCATAGTTGCCCACCATTTGTGATCGCACCAGCCTCAGGACTCAGTCTAGTTCTTCATCCTGGCTCTCCCAGCTTTCACAGCCTGCCTGGGGAATGAATTTCCTTCCTGTGGTTTCTCAGTGTGTTGTGCAGGAGATGAGGGTGAGGAGGGACCCATGTGGGAGTGGCTGAGGCACTTATTGTATAGGATGGTGGGGGACACTGGAATGGTAGCCTTTCTCCACTTGTCCCAAGTGTGGGTGTTGCAGCCCTTGGGTCTCAGTAGTCATATTCTCTTTGTTGTATATCCCCTGTCCTCCCAACATACTCTGTGTGTGCTTGCATGTAAGTGTACATTTGTAAGGAGTTTCTCTGGAGGAGAGAGGAGCTTTTACTCACATTACTGTAGCAACCAGAGAGGTTGAGCTTTTTACCTCAAAACACAAAGCAAATCTGTGTCAGAGCTTTAGTCCTTTTGCTCTTTCAGACACAGCCTCCTAGCAAGGAGAGACTTCAAAGGAAGGCAAATGAACTCTGGTCCAAGAAGAAAAGCAGGAGCCAGAAAGCATCACAAACCTTGTGATGGAGGATGGGTATGGTGTGTGTGTATTGGGGGAGGCAATAGGGCTTTTTACAGTTACAGTGCTTGTTAACAGGATGGTAGAAGATTTGGAAAAGTAGCAGGTGCTGCCCATTGTCCATCCCACTCTGCCCCGCCTGGCTCTTGGCTCTTCTTGTAGGCTAGGAAATGTGCTTGTCTTTCTGGCTGCGGTTATATAATCACTCTCCAGCAGTGTTTTTTCTTTTTCTTTTTAAATCATTCCTGGGTCTTTCCTGGAGACGTGATGGAGAGGAGAAGGTACAGGCAGACTCCTTAAATTTGGGGGTAGGAAGAGCAGCAGTAGGAACCTGAGGAGTTCCATAGCCACAAAGGGAGTAGAAGGTTAGGCCCTCATTGATTGTGACCCATCTTCCTCTGATCCTGCCCTGGGATGGTATCTCTGCTGTGGGTATCCTTGGACCTCATGCCTCCAGAGAGGCCCACACCTCTGCCAGTCTTGCCAACCTTCTCTTCCTGGAAAACTGGACTCCCTTCCTTCCCTAGTTAGCACTAGGTACAAAATCTGTATTTATACTGGCCTGGTACAGGCCCTTGTTGAATGAACACTTTGCCACCCATCTGTGTACCCCCTTGGGGAGAAGGGATTCCAGGGACAAATGAGTAGGTCCAAGGTTGCCATGGTTGTATTTAAGCTGGCTTCTTGCTTCTCTGCCCTCTGGTCTGGACAGTTGTGGCTCTACTGGAAAAGAACAGCTGATGGGGTACAGATCTTCCTCTCGGACACAAATATAACTATTTAGCCAGGTTCTGAAAGGGGCTGAGGATTCCATGTAGGCAAAGAACCTGTCATTTAGGGTCAGATTCCAGGTCTGTGACCATGGTGGTCACCCTTAGGCACCATGGCTGGGACTTTTCATGCTCTCTGTAAGGCCAGCTTGTCTGAGGCAATTAGCTCTCTTTTACAGGGAAGAGGGAAGGAGGAGATGGTGGTGGGGCCAGCACAGCTTCAGCATCACTGTAATCGTTGGTGGCTTTTATGAGCCAGTCATGGGGCCAGAGTCCAGCCAAACCTCTGTCCTGTCCCAGTTTGGTGACTTACTCATGGGAAGAAAGGACAGTATTAGGGCCTTAGAGCTCTGTTCTAGAAGCTGGCCATCTGACTGTGGTGGTTAATATTGCCCTGTCTGTTCAGTTACAGCAGGCAAGATAGAGCTTAGACTTCAGGAAGAGCTTCTCAGTGAGACTAGGTTGGGAAGAGAGAGATGGCTTTTAACTCAGCCTGGGAAAGGTGGGGAAATCTCAAAATACTTTCTTCTCCAGTGGATCTGCTAAAAGAATACCTTGACCTTTGGCCTAGTAGAGTTGGTGCTATTTGGCTCCTGGAATATTTATTTTCTCTTCTCTCTCCTTGCCTAGGACAAAAAGTATTCTGAGGTGAGTTTGTGCTGGAGCTAGCCTTTGAGCTTCTTTCTCCCAGCAAGAGCACTGAGTGTGGGAGGAGGGGTCTCTTGCAGACTGGCAGGTCCAGATGCACCTGGCAGGCCTACAGCATTTAGTGTCATACATGTATGAAGGTGTGTGGTGCATACTTGGGTGTGTAGACACCCACAGAACAGCTGCCACCCTGCGGGAGGTGGGGGTAGTGAGTGGCAAAGATGATTAAAGGATTGGAGAGTGGAGATGGGGTGAGGGGACTGGAGGCAAGAGGCGAAGGGCATAGAAGAACTCTGAAGAGAGAAGTATTGGCTGGAGCAGGAGGGATTGAGGTTAGACCACAGATGGGCAGAGCCCTGTCTGTGAAGTAAAGAGTATGGCTTGTGAGTCAAGGAGCCCTGGCTGACTTGGATCCCATCCCCCATTCTTCTTGGTGGCCCTAGCCCAGCCTACCTCTGCACTTACACTGCCTGTGTCCTTGGGTAAGTTGTCCCCTGTCTGGCCTCAGTTTCCAGGTGTACATGAGTTTCACCTTCAATCGTACAAACACCTGGGTGTTTTGGTAGTGTGCTTGGATTAACCCTCCTCCTCCAGGAACAAGGCCACTCAGTCTTTTCAAGGCTGCAGCTGAGCCCTCAGGCGTTTGGGAGCAAATCCTCTGCCTAGGTGATCCTCAAGGCCCTCTGCATCTACTTTTCCTTTTTCCTAGGCAAGGCCACAGTCTGCCTTCTTGAGAGGCAAGCCATGTATGTGGGGGCAGGGGGATTCCTACAGATTCCTTCACCGCACCAGGTCCTGCCTGGGCTGGGCTGGGCAGGGCAGCTATGCCTGTTGTCTGCCTGTCTACTTTCTGCTGTAGGCTGTGAGGGAGGGCCCTGTCCGAAGCCCTGGCCTGTGGCTGGCCACACCCAGGCGGGACCATATTTACTCATTTAAGCTTACTCTCCCCAGAGACTCCAGGCTGTAGGCCTGGTCACCAACCTTGGCTTGGTGCCCCCCAGCCTGTGGTGTTTGAGCCACTCCCCTTGAGCTGGGCAGACAGGCAAATGCACCAGGCAGAAGCTTCCTGCCTGTATCAGGGAAGCTTTGCTCTCATGCTTACCCACTCACCCAGCTCTCTAGCACAGTTCAGAGACTCTAAATAACAACTTTTGCCATTCTTGGAGCAGGAGGAAGGGTAGTTCCATTTTTATGTCCTTGTGTGCTGAGTCTGGACTGGACATGATAACCTATAAAGACTATTTGCCTCCACAACTGGTTTTTGTAATGGGGAAAACTGAACCCCAGGAATTTAAGTGACTTACTTAAACTTTCCTGGATAGGAGGGTTTTTTATCCGAGGCTAAAGAAGAGATACTGCCTCAGGGAGCCCTCAGAGGAGGAGGAGGAAGAGATGTTGAGAGTTAGTAAAGTCCAGCCTGGTAGGCGTCCAGACAAAGGGCAGAGAAATAGAGATTGGTGGCAAGCTGAGGGAATGTTGCTTTGACCCCATGAGAAGGGATTGGTTTTTTTTTTTGTTTGTTTTTTGGGTCTGGTCGTGGGGCCTGAACTCTGGGCCTG